GTAAACTTTCGACAAGACGTTAGTTACTACCAAATAGGTACATAAATTGCTTTCTTAAATATATATTTTTACTTATTTGGTGGAAAAGTTCCTTTGGGAAACGCTAAAAAAAACTTTATATTGAATTTTCGACTCTGGTACACCAGGTCGTTATCAGACGCGTGGAGAGTGTACGGAACAGTGAGAATTTTAACATACAGGAAAAAGCGATAATGCCTAGTCATGTTTGGTTAATAGTAGTCTCGGTTGGTTGGCGTCTAGTACGGATTGGTTGCCATCTTTTCCAGGCTTCCCTGAAATTGGTGTACATAACATCCAATTTGACGTGCCTATTAATGCAAGAGTCATCTGGGTTGATGGCCTCTAAAAACTCACGGCCTTTCGTAGATGGACAGAAGCCTATAATGCAAGTTTGGTCCCATGCAAACTGGTGTCCATTCTCTAGTGCGTGCATGACGACTTGGGACAGGTGGTCCCGCCTCTTAACTGCTAATTGGTGTTCGTGTAGGCATGTAACGGCTGATTTTCCTGCCTGACCACAATAAACTGAATTACAGGCGCCACAAGGAATCTTATTAACGACTTCTTTTCTGTCCAAATAGCCGACCCCATCCTTGGGGTATACAAGCTGATTTCGCAGCGTAGTCGTTGGCTTGTGCGACACTGGGATTTGGTGCCTCCTTAGGCGTCTTTCAACGGGTTTAGAGACGTTCGTACTATATGGAAGTGTTCGCCTACTTTTTGGATTGGGCGCCTGAGCGGAACAATCTAGTTCCCCTTCTTTTTGTTTTAACGCCTGTCGTCTCATGCATCGATGCACAAACGCCCTAGGGTAACCAGTTTTTGAAAATAGTTTTAACAGGTAGTGGAGTTCGCTTTGGTAAAGTTCGGTGCTAGAACAATGCGCTCTTGCTCGATTGATTAAAGTGTTAACAGTACTCCGCTTGTGAGCAACAGGGTGGTTGCTCTCATAATGTACGATAACAACATTAAAAATCCATGGGAAAAATCATTCTACTTAAGTATTCATGTTTAATAGCTTAGTTTTTGTAGACGACTCGGAAGAAGCTCGTCCAAAAGCCGACATCCCTTACGTACCTTAATAGCTCGGAATAATGCTGTACTATAATAAATATTAAAACCCTACTTAAGTACTATTTTCTAATTGAAAATACATTTCATTATTTTCGGGTAAAATTGCATGAGATAGCACCTCCATTCTCTTCAGAGTGAAATGACGGGTCTGTTTGAGTCTAAGCCGTGAGTGTCCTCAGAACACTACAGTTATCACGCCCAGTTCCGTTTAGGAGGAGAAACGGTAAGACCAGTTGGAGTTGTTTATTGTATACAGGAACTGGTGGTCTGAAGCTCCGACGCGCGCCAGGCCCGGGTCTTGCACGCGTCTCTGTCTGCCTGCGTGCTGTGGGTGTGAATGAATAAACGTCAGTTGAGCGTGAGTCACTGACCGTTTGGCCAATAGTAGTCTACGGCACCTGTGATTGGCTGTTCCAGAAGCAGATCGAGGAGCGCAGTCACGTGACGGTTTGCGGGCTTGGCGCCGGCGCTACAGGTCATCTCATTGTTATCTCTAGAGTGCTCGTTTGTGTCCATAAACTACCGGTACATTGAACAAATGGCTGACCGCATGCATCGTGACTGTGTTTTAGGGCACAAAGTTGAAATGTGCAAATTAGAAGTTCGAAGTCCAAGTCGTTCTTGCTTTGCTAAAAAAAGGATGCGGTCCTGCATATCTCACTTGCCACATTTTGTGTAAAAATGAAAAATCACTTTTCAGATTGGCGAAGGCTGTTTTTGGGAGTCGTCAGAATTCGAGCGAAACATACACAAAGAGCTGCAATAAGCTCTAAGATAGAAAACCATCCAAATAAATTGCTATTTGACTTCCACCCTTAGCAAGTCATGTTAAAATCGTCGGAGCGACGAAAAATAAAACTTGAAATTTCCTAGGAACTTCCACAAAGCATCTAGATTTCAATCTTCATATTTCATCATTTTCGTAACTTTGTGTCTTTACGTCAACTTCCTCCTGTAATACTTAACTCCCAAAACGGAGCATTTATGGTCAAACTGGACAGGTCTCCTTATTGCCTTGGCAAAATCCAAAACCAAGTAAACCGACGCATGCTTCTATCCTATTTCAGCGAAGTCATCTTCGAAGCTGCAGAATCACTGGAAACCTGTGTTAGAGAATTCCCTGATCGCCACTTCATCAGTGTTCCAATCAAGAACCTCTACCAACAGGCCGTTGGAGTGGTTTGCTGGACCTGGCTGGGTGAAAAACCACTATCGTGCGAGGCCAGGATGCGAGTCAATATGATCACTGCATTCATGCAGGCTGCCTTTTGGGAATTAGAACATTGTTATGGCGCGGGGGTAGTGCCAGGACAAGTATGTTGTGGTGAAACCGAACCACGCGTCTCTGACGCTCAGCCCGCGTGGAATTATCAGTTTTTGGAGCACATCCTCGAGGAAACTTCGTTGAACCTGCTCAGAGACAGGCTGAGATCCTTCCCACGCAAGGTTTCTATCTGCATTACATACCCGTATCAGTCTTTCTCAGCTATTTCCTTTAACGGCATGAACGGTTGTGCGGTTAACGCGAGATTGTAAAAGCCAAATTTTGTGCCCACTGCGGCAGATAAAAGGGAAGTGCAAATCAACAGCATGACCTCGCGTTCCAACTTTTTCCTCAGTAAATGGAGGACGTTGAGCATTTACTTGGCGGACGCTGCTTACATAGGTTGAGTTTCTCCCGCCATATATAGGCTGCTTTCATGTGGCGCAAAGTCCGATTTGTCCGTGCTCGAACAAGAACTCGGAAAAATGTTTTGTAATGGAGGACCGTGATGCTTTGTTTTCTTGTTTAAAAGCCAATTAGGCAAATGTTCAGCGGCCCTGGTCGCTAATTGCTTTTGCGTACGCCCAATGTACTCGCATCCGCAAGTGCACGTGAATTCATAGACACAAGTTGGGGTGGCGTGCAAAGGCAAGGCATCCTTTGTCCGGTTAACTGGAAGGCTTTTAGTGGGAGTGAGGAACACTATTTTAGCTGCATTGTACGTTCTCTCTATTCTGCGACGTAGCCGTCGCTTAGTTGTAGTTGAAATATTGTCACCCTTATGGAATACGGTGTGGTCCAGCCAGATAATAGACGAGAGAACGTATCCCAACATGTATGAGCTAGTCGATAGTATAAGGCGTGAAAGGCCAGATTAGTAGGAAGAATGTATTTTGTACACCAAGCT